TTTAAGTGGAGAGAAAATGTTTTGAGAATGATGTACAAATGCGCTTTACACAATTGATATGTGTATGGATTGCGATAACAGTTGCATGAGCCCCTAATAAAATGTTTTAAAAAAAAAGAAGAAAAGTTTGCCACCAATCTTTCCTAATACTTTTCAGTTTTCCAACTTAATATTTAATATATTAAAATACGAATTCTTCAAAATCTATGGTGAATGATATAATGCCTAAGATGAATTTGGAATATAGCACATAAAATAAGAGCAATATTATCAGTCACCATTAATCTAAAGAGTCATAGTTAGAATTAGGAAATGGTCATCCAATCCCTGTGCAATACAAAATCTCCTCTAAATATTCCTAGTTATTCACATGCCTATAATTAGAGACACTCTTTATTCATAAGGCGGCCTCTTAGATTTTGTACAAATTATTTTTACAAATACTTTTCTCCTGTTCAGCGAAATGTGAACTTCTCTGTACTTTGATCTATCTTTTCTAATGTCTCCACTCCTTACATTGACATTCTTAGGTTCCAAAGACCAAGTCGTTTGCTATGTGGAAATCAGCCTTGTGTGAAAATGGATAATGACTATATCAGATCAAAAAGTGGAACTCTATCATTGCATAATTGTCATACCACTGCGATTAATGGCCCAACCAAGTTAATATGACCTTAACCATAGCAGCCAGCATTATGATTCCCTGGTGACTTGGAGTTTGTTACTCTTGGAAAGTTACTGATAGATGATTAAATCTCCATTTTATTTGGCAGGCCATCAACTACTTGAAAATGATCATATTTTCTCTTTTTCCGTTTTTTCCAAGCAAGCTAAAATTTCCTAGCAGTCTCAACTCTCTCTGTGTCGGTGCCTGTAAAGCTGTGAAGGACTCTGGTGGCATGGTGGGTTAGAAGTCAGCTACCAACCAAATGCTAGTAGCTCCCAACCACCCCTAGGCCCTCAGCAGAGGGAAATGCAGGAGTCTGCTTTGGGAAATGGTCACAAGCCTACAAACCCTGAGGCAGCTCCACTCTCTTCCACAGAACTCCTGTGTGTTGGAATACACTTAACACAAAGGCTTTTGGGTTTTTACATTAAACTGTTGTTTTCTGTCTTATTTCTACATACTCTGAGTTCTCCATCTATGCCCCAAACTTCCCACTCTAACATTCAAATATTAGGTTTTCAGAAATATGGCATATCTAGTTTTCAGCTTTTCTTCTATCGTATCCAACTGCTTGGTCATGTATCGCCTCCATGAAAATGATGCACACATCTAGCTTTGTTCTTCCTTGAAAATGAGTGCTGCTTCTACTGTGTTCTGTGTCTGTAGACCTTTGATAGTGGATAAAATGGCGAGAATGTATAGATCATAGGTTTCTTGTTTGCCAATAATCAGTCTGTGTGTGTGTATGTTCTGAGGGTCAATGTCATTTCATTGTTTCTGACTCAACAGCACTGGGTTTGCACGACTGGAACTCTTGCTGGGAGTGGAAAGCCTCATCTTTTTCCTGCTGAATGGCTACAGATTTTGAACTGCTTATCTTGTAGTTGGTAGCTTGTGCCACAAGGGCTTCTATATATAGTATTATGATTATTTTGGCAGAACCAAATATAAATCGAATATATAAATCTAGCATTTTTTAAAGCACAAATTGATCCTGTGGGTAGTACAAGTTAATCGTCCACAGTCAAATATAATGCCGAAGGTTTAAATGTCTCAGATTCATGTTCCTCATTCAAAGCCCTGGGGCATGAAGAAATCGATGGGAAGTATTTTGGGTCAGCAGGCATAGTTTTTATTCTTCCTCTATTTTCATGTGGCAATCAAGCTGATGTCAAGGGTTTATCCATAGAATCCACTTCTAGTTCTGCCCTTGTCCCAACACCTATCAATTTATGTATGCCTAAGCTTTTGGTGCCTGTTGAATGTAAATATTAAACACCAAACTCTAAGTCCTATGGCCAAATTAATGTTACTTAATTTAAGCCATAGTGCCTAAATCTAGCCTGATATTCCCAGCCTCCACTCCTAGGCTACTGTACCATCAATTTTCGAGTTTCTACACAGGCTTTAAGTTCTTTCTTTAATTTCCTGACAACCAGAGAGTTTATCATATAATTGTTCTGAAATGTGTTATACATTTACGTTTTTATTTTAATGTATTCATTGTTTATTTTAGCCTAATGTGTGGGCACATGTGTGTATGTATGGATTTAGGGTGTTTGTGTTTGGTCACGCAACGATTATCAAACCTAGGGCTCCGTTTCCCACTACCTGAAGGCCATGTCTACCACATTGCTTCTTTGTCAACCTAAACTCAGTGTATCAGAAAGTTAATTTATCACAATCCCTCAGAAAGCCTTCTCATTTTGTCTATGTTTTGTAGTATAATTTATGATACCCTGTCTTATTGATTTTCCAGGTATGAAATTTTAAATTGATCTTAAACTCGTCCTCTCTATTGTGCCCCATATCCAATTATACACCAGCTTTTTCCTAATTGCAATATTTAACTTTGTATTTTCTAGCAATCTGTAATATTTTCATTGTACTATAACTATAATGCATATTATAATATTTACTTTCAGAATCATTGTGAACAAGAAATGAAATAGTGTAAATCATCAACTTAATTCAGAAAAGAATCTCTGCGTGAGTGGAAATAATAGATGACTATATTAACTGCTGAATAATCAAAGCCAATCTCCCAGTATTTGCATTGTAATGAGTAGTATTTATGGATTTTTACAAATTCACATATATAATATCACTACTGACAATGCATCTATGATAAATGAACAGACCACACAATATGTACCTCTCTTAATGTTTATACTTTTCTAATTTTTATTTTATTAGTTGTGCATATACAGTACCTATTTCCCCATATAAATTAAAAAGTATGCATGAATAGATATTTAATTAATATTATACATTTAACCTTTATTCCATATTAGGCACTTTTATATATCCTTTGTAATTTATGTTTTACAACAGCCCTGTAAGTGACCACTACTGTTCCCATGTGGAAGTTACATAATTTGACTATAGTTACAGACAGAAAGGGAAGAGCCAGGACTTGAATATTTAGAATCTAAATACAGAGCTGCCATATCATCAACTATCCTGTATAAGACTAGTATATCTATAGTACGGGTGCTCTCCTTTGGGAAACTTTGATGAGTCAAATCCAGACTTGCAGGTGGTTGCTCAAAACTGAACACACTTCTTGTTGGGTGCCTTTGAGTGGTTCCAGCGCACGATGACCCACTGTCCAACAGAATGAAATACTGCCCGGCCCTGGTCCAGCCTCACCATTGTTCTTTTGTGGGAGCCCACGGTTGCTGTTACCATGTCAATCCATCTTGTTGAGAGCCCTCCACTTTACCAAGCAGGAAGTCCTTTTCTAGGGACGGATCTCTGTAGTTCAGAGTATATTCCTGGAAAACATGGCATTTAAAAGTTTTCTATTAGGAAACTTCTATATAATTCGATTCAATTTCATAAGATTGGTAAGTGGCAGCCACATGTCAAGGCTGAGCTCAAACATAAATACACAAGAGACTTTTTTTAACGTGAATTACTCATACATTTTTCATCCCAATATTATGATTCAGTAATTGTGTTTCCTTAAATCTGTGAAAGATTCAAAATGAATCTCAAGGAAATTGAACCTATGTACTTTTAAACAAGCCTGTTAAAATTTCTGAAATACTGTTTTTGTTTTTCATAGCATTAATTATTTTTGTTCCTGTCCCCTCCCCCACCCCTTACCACCACTGTCATCAAGTCAGATTCAGCTCATGATGGCACTCTATAGGGGTTTTGAGGGTGTCGATCCTTATTGGAACAGAGAGCATCCTCTTTCTCCTGTGCAGTAACTGATGGTTTTAAACCACCCTCGTAGGATTTGTAAAATTTCATGTAATACTGACAACATAAACAAATTTTCAAACAGTATCCTACTAAGATATTAATTTACAATATTTTATATTGATGTTTTGTTGACAATTAAGTAATAATATACTTTTATCTTGTGAATTCATAATTGTACGGAAAAACAAAAAGAGGTTTTTCTCCATATTTCTATGAATAAATTCTTCTATCTTTCTGTTGAAATGACTGTGGTTCTGGAGACAGAGTTAACATGCTTTGAAAAGCTACTAGTTGTATTACAAGTGCAGTGGGAGATCATTATCTGGGATCTAAGGAAGAAAGGGTGAATACTCATCTTAGGTTAGGACAGTACACAAAGATCGGTAGGTCAAATAGGACAGACTTTCTTTTATTCTTTATTGGATATAATGAAAATATCATAAAACTGTGGGTAAGATCTGTGCATTGTGTATCACTGAAGAGCTTTCAGAAATTCTGATTTTAGAAAAGTTGGCCCTTGCAAGAGGATATATTATATAGAATTATATATAGAGAGAGGATATAATTATACATTATATCCAAGCACAATTCAGTTAGATGATTAACAAGCACCCCTACATCATCTACCGAATTTGAATGTGATTGCTAAGTTCCTGTACACTGTTTCCCAAAACAGGTACATTTAAAAACTCTTCAGGTATCTGCAGTCACTTGCCTTCTTTCCATTGTATTTGTTGAAACCACACTTTATATGACCTACCATTCTCACATCTACCCTTCTCTCTCTCTTTATGTTTCTTGTTTTATTTTAGGTAATGTTAAACCAGCATTCATATAAACCTAAAATCAAAGAAGCAAAATTCTATCAAGTTGATGTCACTATGTGACATCCCCGTGTATCGCAAGGAGAGCTGCTTCGTAGGTTGCCAGTGGCTCCGACTGGAGCTAGACTACTAGGCCTTGCTTCTGAGTTTCCTCACCATAGTTTTAGAACCTTCTTTTTAAATGAAAGCAAATAGCCCATTTCAATTCATTTTATTTTTGTGCAAAGATAGTTTGAAGACAAATTAATGTCCTCACAATGCGATTAACAGTAAGATTTGACTCTTGTCCTCTATAGCAAAATGTGGATAACATTGTTGAAGAAGTTAAAAATATATGCAGTGTTCTTGGCTGTGTGGAAACCAAAGAAATTACAGATGCAGTAAATCAGCTGAACCTAACTCTGCAGAGAAAAGCCGAGGTGAGTATTATGTATTTCACAGTAATTATTCTAAACATGAGTTCAATAATTAAACAGAGCAAAGACTTTCTAACTAGAGATTACATGGGTATACATGCATGGAGAATATTTCAATCACTTGTTGATAGTAGTAATTTGATTTCATCATATGAATGGATTTAATTAAATTAAAAATCAACTTCTTACACTTTAAACTTTTTAACTACAATATAACTCCTCAGTGATATTGAAATCCCACCCAAGTGAATGTGTTTATGATCATATTTTCATGCAAATGTTTGTGTAGGTTATTGCTAATGCTCATTTATCTCAGACTATGATAGGCACTCACACATATGCACAGTTACATATTGAAGAAATACAAAATCAATTTTGTAGGGGGGTTTTTTGTTGATGAGTCATGTTGCTTTTTCCAAAGTTACTTTTGAGTTGAGTTAGAGATGTAATTATTGCCTGAGGAAAAGATTAGGAAATCCAGTAATACTTATTATTTTTATTTATTTAAGTGGCTGTAAGGGTACAGTCATTCTCTTTATTATTTAAGCAGCCCACGGAGCAGAAAGACAGGGCTCTGAGAGTGCAGTGCTGCCGGAGAAAGATGCAGCAGCCTCCTTTGGTGTAGAGCTCCAGCTTGCGCACTCTCAGGGGCAGTTGTGCTCCGCGCTGTAAGGCCACAGTGGATCTGGATTAGCCAGACAGTAGAAACCGCAAACCAAACCCATTGCTATTGAGTCAACCCCAGCTTAGAGCAGCCCACCTGGACAGAATAGAACTGTCCACGTGGCTTATTGATGGTAGCAGACAACCTTACCTTTCTCCTGAGAAGCAGCTGGTGGGTTTGAAGTGTCCACCTTGTGGGTCACAGCCCAACTATAACCCACTACATCACCAGAGCTCCCAAGATCAGAAAGATATATACCCTAACCTGAATTCATCGCGTGAATTCTGATTCATGGTAACTCCATGTAAACCAAAATAGAACTGTGCTCCATAGGGTTGAATTTTGGAAGTAGATCAAAAGGACCTTCTTTTTGAAAAAGCAGATTTGAACCTCAAGCCACTCAGTATGCAAGTGTATTGACCATTTGCACCACCTAAGGACCCAAATAATAACAACAAATAATTTACAATGCATTGTAATAGATAAAATAATTATTTATGTAATAGCTCACTTAATTTAACTTGGATTTTGTTTTTGTGACAATGTCATGAACTTTGCATTTTTAATAATAATGGTATACATTAAAGGTGATACTTAGAGACCTTAATATAGAAAATTATGGGAGGGAGGGGATTAAAAAAAAGAAGATTATGAAATGGCAAACAGAAATTGAACTGATGTCTCTGTACATACCCTGGTATAAGTGAAACTTCATAAGAGACAGTAATTATATAAATTCAATATCTGCATGGAAAGGAGAAGTAGAGATTATATTATCTTGAATATCATCCTCAACATTTCAAAGAGATTTATTTAAAAATTGACAATCATATGATTATATATTAATCGTGTGTGCACTGCTTCTTATTTCCAATAAGTGGGTAATTAATTTTAAAAATCTGTAATTTCTTACATTGGACTTTTTGTATTATTTTTATCAAATCTTGTTTTGTGTGAATTATTAGCTAAAGACAGTAAACATATTTCAAACACTTCATATTACTGTACTTGAATAGTGGCAGTAGGGGATTATGGGAACACTAGAATTTAAAGTAATAAAACTTCAGTTTAAACCATTAACTTACAGCTGAAAATACAAGACACTAAAGACATAAAAGTTAAACAATATATCAATAAGATCCAAAATGCAGTTCAGAGAGAGGTTTGTGCTTATTTTTCTAAATCTTCCTTTATGGGGAACCATTTACTCTCCTATCCTCCAATGACCAAAGGGGGGTTTTGACAATGAAATGATTACTTTGTCTTCAAAACTGCTTTTATGTGTGGCTACGGAAATCTATATTGGAAAATCAGGTGGTTACATTTAATAGGGTTTGATTTTTCTATTTTATATCAGAGTATAAAAATTATAACAGAGTCCTAAAAATTATATTACTCATATAACCAAATTATACTAATAGAAGGGCCTTCTAGTAGCTTAAGTTAAGCTATCAGAGAAATAAGAATTAACTTCTCTTAAGCAAACAGTTTCTCTTAAATTATCCCATTTTAGACCATATAAGCACCTAGTGTTTATAATAAAATATAAGGAGGTTGAGATTTAGAGTCATAAATATATTACGTAAATTCAGTGTCAACACTTTTCTAATGAATAATCTGCTGGAAAATAAACGCACTTCACCGAGGTTCACATTTCCTGAATTCTAAAATGGTATTCTGGGTAGGTACTGTCTAGCCAATTCTGACTCTGTGGCCTTTGGTACAATAGATTGAAATGATACTTGCTCCTGCACCTTGCTCACAATTGTTGCACTTTGAGCTCATCATTATAGCAACTGTGTTAATTCATTTTGTTTAGGATTTCCCTCCATTCCACTAACACCCTGCTCTACCAAGTGTAGTGTTTTTGTTGAGAGACTAGTCCCTCTTATCATTAATTCATAGTTGAAATGAATCTAAGGAGCATTACTTATGGCTATACTTATGCCAAGACAGATTTGTTTTTCCCTCTAGCAATCCAGGGTATATTCATTATTCTTTGCCAAAACCATAATAGAAAAGCATCATTTTTCCTATTACCCCCTTTTACATGCATATGAGGAGACTGGAAGTTCCTTGGTTTTGGTCTTTTGCAGCAGATCTTCTTTTGCAATGTCCTTTGATTTCTTGACCGCTGCTTTCATGGGCATTGATTAAATGAAATCCTAGGCAAATCCAATCCTTTTTCTGTTTATCATGATGTTACTTATTGGTCCAATTATGAGGATTTTTGTTTTCTTTATGTTGAAATGTAATCTTCCCAAAAGCTGTAGCGTTTGATCTTCATAAGCAAGTGTCTCAAGTCCCCTTCACATGCAGCAAGCATGGCTCTGTCATGTATATCATAAGTTGTTAATGAGTCCTCCTCCGATCCTGAGGCTTCTCAGATTATTTGCTCAGCAACAGACTGAATAAAGATTCTGAAAAGACGCAACCTTGATATGTACCTTTCCTGATTTTAGATCATATACTATCTACTTATTCTGTTCAAATGACTGCATCTTGTTCTATATACAGATTCTGCATGAGCACAATGAATTTGAGGGGGGGATTCTTATTCTTTGAAATTTTATCCATAATTTCTTATGATGCATACAGTCCAAGGCCTTTGCATAGTCAATAAAACATATGTAGACACCTCCCTGGGTGTTCTCTTCTTTCTGCCGAGCTCTATCCACAATAATATCCCTTATTTCACGTTCTCCTCTGAATCAGGCCCAGGTGTTGAGTACTATGGGAACTGTTTTAAATTACCTTCAAGCAAAATGTCATCTGTGTGTGATCTCAATTATACTATTTGATATTTTCATCATTTTATTGAATAACTGTTCTTAGGAATGGGCACTGATATTGATCTTTCCCATCCTTAATTTAATTAATAGAATTTTGGAAATTAAAAATAACAACAACATGCTTTTCAAGGCTCATGAGAGCATTAGACTTGTTTTAAAAGACCCAGATGGTGAGGTGACAAATTAGAATTATTAGTGAGGATGGGGATGGTAGTTTTTGAGAATCTTCCATATAGGGCCAAGATGAATGTTAGATTCCACAAAAGCACCATTGAGGTCCCCATCATCTCAGACTACAGTGAAATCAGCCTTCTCACAAGAGTCACGGCCAGAGGAAGGGACTGCATCTTGCTTCTCTTAAGACGACTTGATAGTTTCTCAACTTTTGTATTCAGCTATTGAGAGAGTAGTAGAACCAAATGGTCAGAAAATGAGGAAAACTTAATGTTAGCATGAAATACTTCAAATGATATTAAAAATGGTTAGGTTTCTATCCCAACATGGGACCTGTAAGATGAGATGGGTGGTGTCAACCCTGTCAATCAAGTTGCCTAGTGGAGTCTCCTCCCGGGGATGATGTGGAGGACTGGCTAGCCCCTTCTATTTTCCCTTCTTGCCCAGTCCTCCTGCACTCTTTGCTCCAGCCACCCCATGTTGCTACAGTATGCTGCTCATTCCCACTACCTCTTACTGCCATGTTTTACCACCCAGCCTGGCCCCATAGCAACCTCATGCGGCACCACATGGTCTGGCCACTTCTCACTGCAATGGTAGGAGGTTCCATTGTGCCTGGCCTTGCTACACTGAACTACCAGGCCTTACTGCACTTCACCATGCCTCTCCCTTCTACCTCCAATTTCTTTGACTCTTGGGCCTGATAGTCACATGAGTTGTCTTACCATCAAACCTACTAAGGTGAGTCAGACAGGGCTTTCTTTGCCTCTCTCTGCAACTGTGTTGGCTGCTTTCCTGTTATAAGTTCTTTTCTAAATGTAAGCTTCTCTACTTACATACATTTGCAAGTGTCCTGGTTTTGCTTCTTTAAGGAACTCAGCCTAATACAATTGGCTCTGAGTAGCTCTAGAAAAAAAATCATGAGCTTTCTAAATTACTTCTCAAGACTGATGTCAGGTCTCTGTGTTAGGCTGGGTTGACTAGAGAAACAAATCCAGGGACACTTATGTATATGTAAGAGAGAGCTTTATATCAAAGAGTAATTGTATATTAAGAAAACATCCCAGCCCAGTCCAGATCAAGTCCACCAGTTTGATAATAGCCCATAAGTCCAACACTAGTCCATAAATTTCTCTAAAGACTCACGTAGCCACTCTCAATGATGCCAATGCAGGAAGATCAGAGGCTGATGGGTAAAAAGTCTTGTGGATACAGTGGTGGTGGATGCATTTCCATGGCTCTGGCTGCCATCAGCGTGGCTCCATGTGGCTTGTCAACAGGAAGGCTAAGGTAGGGAGAGCGTGTGTGGTCCACCTCCTGGGAGAAGGAGAGGAATTCCCAGAATCCACAGGAGAAGGCCCTGCACACAAGGA